GTCGTTTCGCATTCACATGCGACGTTTATAGGAAGATCTCCCCAACCAACAGTTTGCAGCAAACAACTGTCGCAAATAGATGTCTCAAGACGCGTTGCCCGCGTGGATGTTTTTGCAACGGGTTCGGCATAGGCCTAGCATTTGCCTGATCCGACTTGATTTGTTTGTAAGCTCGTTCTGCTGCTGAATGATAAAGATGTCGGTTCCCGTAAAGGCGGCTCTGCTGCTCTTTGAAGGACTGGAAGCGTCGAGATTGCAATCAGTTTCAGTACCGTCAGGATACCTGCAGGTAAGTTTGGGCAAACCACTTGGCAGAGAGCAATCGGGTTTGCCCAGGCCTGTAGCTCGAGTTTTGAGCAACACACCTTGCTTGCAAAAGCAAATACTTTTAAGTAGTGCTTTGATAGTGCGTTGTGATGCTCACCCGCTTTGCTTGCGGACATCAAGAAAGAAAAGAAAAAAAGCTGAAAAGACAGCAGATTTATTAAGTACTTTTATGTGTTTGTTAGGGTGCACTGACAAATGCTGACCGACACTTGTATTGGACAGTGGTTCGTGTATGAATGGACTGCCAATTTCAAGGTTGTGTCTTGTGGACACTGCAGACTGTGGTAGGTGGTGTAGCAGACGATGGACGCCAATGTGCCGCCGCTCTCACAAGAGCAGACATTGTCAGACTAGAAGCGCCGGAGGTCGCAAGAGGGAGGCATCAGGTTTGCGTACGGTGCTCGGCCGAGCAGCCAAGCCAATCCACTACTAATGATGGGGTCTACAGTGGGGCATGGGCAGAGTGTACTTCCACCTAAATTGCATTTTGGAGTACAAATATAGTGTTGAAAATTGTTGGAAAATTCCCCTTGTGATAAACAAAACCTAAACACTGAAAAAACAAATATTGGGGTAGTGCAAAAGAGTTTGGATTAGTGGCAACACATTTCTGTGGAGAAAAATACACGCCAATTCGAATGTGTCCTATAATTAGACTTAAACATATGTGGGTCTCCACTGACAGTAGGCAGGCACACAGAATGCGATGTCGACACCTATAGGAACACCGTCCGACAGCTGCGACAACTAGGCCAACAAGCTGCAGCTGAAAAAAGTGTCCTTCGGATTGGATGGGTGCTGGGACACTCCAGCATATATCGCAACAAAGAGGCCGACAATGCTGCCACAACGGCACTTGAAGCTGCGCCTGCGAGACCAGATCAGGATCAACAGGAAGAAAGTCAAGGAGGCGAAAATGATGTCCTCTTCTTCAACCCCGACGAGTTCCTGTCCCTGGTAAGGACGAGGGGGCGCAAAGCCCTGACAGACCTGGTCTCCCAAGATCCTGATGGTGAACTGGCGACTGTACTCGATGCGGGAGCAAGAAACCAGAAACTACAATAGATCTGAGAGTGCAGAGCCACTGTACGCTCAAGGTGGGCCACCATTTGCGAGCTCCTCGCTGCATCGACCAAAAACTCCTGTAGAGTGGACGTGGCCAAAGGCCAATATACAGCACAGGAAGATTGTGCTGGACACTCTCCTAAAGTTGATTCAAGAAGCCGGTACCCAGCACTATTTTTAAACATTTCATCCTCATCTCTCCCCTCATCATCCCCACAAGTGACCCAAGGTCAAGGTGGTGGAAAAACCATTAAAACATGTCTTAAACAAACAATTTTACTTAGGCAAATGTGCGTGTGCACCTAACAGACAGCAAAACACTTCTCTTCTGCTACAAATCCAAGAGTGTGTAAATACCACATAAACCTCAAGACACTTTTCTTAATGCAATGGAAATATTTTATTCTCGTCTTCCAAATAGCTGAAGGAAAACTACAACAGTCTAAGAAGAATAAGTGGAAAACGCCACAAGCACGTCTTTTTGTACGGCTGCTTTTGCTTCTTTGCTACGATTAGAGCAAAGAGGCTTTTGCTTCTTTGCTCTAATCGTAGCTGTGCAGAAAAAGCAATGCATGCGCGGAAATTTATGGTGCCCACATAGCACAACTAGCCTTCGGCACACGAGGAAAGCTCGCAGTATTGGCACGGCCAAGAACACATCTTGTCAATCTCAAAACCTCAGGTACCCCCATTTGATGTCCCAAAGTTCTGAAAAGGCAAAAGACCTTTTGCGAAAATTCCGAAAAGCAGCACACAAAGTCCTACATTACGCTTCTTGCCCCCACAGCACCTATGACGTGATGCCAAAGAGAGGAACAAGTTGCTCGCCTGCCCCTACCAGTGTTTTTCTATGTCTGCCATGACTGGTTTTGTACATACTGTTCCCAGCATTTTTTTGGCGCCGCAGAGGGTGCCGAACGTTTTGCAACAAGACTATTAGCGGTATTTGAACTTTTTCTTTTGAATTCCGTATTAAAATTCTGCGCAGGGTCCCATTATAATGTCACACTCCTCATCCAACCCCTCCGTCCCAGTCCACTTGCCTGGGACAGCGCCACCACCGAGTTGTCGTCGTTGATGGCCTCTTCCACCAGAAGCCGGTTGGGCTTGGTCTTGGTCTTGAGGATGGCTGTGGCCAAATCCTCAGGACTGTAAGAGGCACAGGGGAAAAAAACAATGCAGGTTCAGAAACATGCGTTTGGCCACACCTAAGTCGGAGAGATATGGGCAGAAAACGAAATTGTACCCAGAAGTTACACATGAAAGAATTTCTGCCAAATCTTTCTGGTTACAAGAAACCCGAGTGCACGACACATCTACATATTTTTATCACTCTGATGCTATTCCGGAAGAGTGATAAAGAATTAAGCCCCAGATGAAAAAACAAGAATGCCATGCTTAGTGTCATCTATTTTATACCAGATTGTGAAGGCTAGCTAAGTATGCAACTCGTGTCTCCGAGACTTCCGCGCAAACGTGCGTAATGCTTTGCTTCTCCAAAAATGGGCTTTTGCACATGCTCCTATGGACATTTATCAGCGATGAGTCGGTACGTCACCCCAGCGAAGTGCCTTGGACAGTGTTTTCCTTTCTAGTCGACCGACCTCGATGCTAGACTTCCCAAGAGAGAAACTAAGAACGAGCTTACTGTAAGCCAAGTTCACGTCACAAATACCAATACCAGACATTCTCGGCAAGCTTCGAAACCTTAAAAACATTACTCCCAAGCTTTTCACCACCAACAGAAGTGCCCGACACTATTTTCTCAAAATTTTTACAATGGTTTAACTTCAAGGCAAGTGCTATTTAGGCACAAACCTATCCCAGGATTTATTTGGACATAATTAGTGGGAGCCACCCAAGATTAGCAGCACTGATTTAGATATTTGAGGTTAACACATTACTTGTGTTAATGTGTCTTCCACGAGGCCTACTGGAGTCATGGACATAGTTTTCTCAGAGCTTATCATGAAAGATTACTTCAATGGTGCAAAATAAATAAAGCACAAGCTGCACAATCAGCAGCAAACAAAAGGGCAATGTGAGGTACCAGGTGGTCACACAAAACTTGGACACAATCAGTGTGGCGTGATGCAAAGCAGGTGCATCGAGGCTACCAAGCGTAAAGGTGCACACTACCATGCTTTCCTAAACAGCTGAAACAAAAAGTCAACTTACCCGGATCTGAAACAGTAATACAAAGAAACAAATAATGAGAACGGGACTACCAATTTATTTCCATAAAATTCAGCTATTTTTTTTTTATCTTTCACGCAAAAGGTGCACTGAGAAAGTCAAATCAATCGTCAGGTGTCATAACAAACCACAATGTAGGTCATGGGAAACGCCAACAAAAGACTGGTCACTTTGTTAACAAAAAATGCCAAGAAAACTTGCATTACCATTTCCAGTTTACACTCGCATGGCCCTTATGAACGAGGCTGGCCGCCAAGAAAATTCTCTAGCTAAAAAAGCAATACTCTTTGAAACGAGAAGTTTATCACACAACGTTTTAGACGAGCAACTGCAACGCACATCCCGCAATCGCACACAAAAATGGCTTCTTTAAAAAACGTAGGTAGGCTAGGCTGAGGAGTGCCGTCGCCCTCACAAAGCAAGCTGCTGAATCATTGTTCCCAAGCGCTCGCTACTCTCCACACCTGCGCCATTGATTACCCCGAGCACGACCACAAAGACCGATTTCCTCGACGACTCGTAGGGGCATTCGTAAACGATTATTAAACGCAAGGTTAGAAACTGCGTTTCCAACCTGGCGTAAACTTGACCGTCCTCACAGATGAGCCAACATGATGATCGCGAACTTTTCACAACCGTGGCATGTCGTCAGCTTCACGATCATTGCGCTCGCGAGGACACCGCAGAGCGAGCAAAGAACTCGACGTACTCGCTTAGACACGTCGACTAATTTCAGTCCTAGATTCAGCCGAGGATTACGTCTAATAACATCGCCCGTAAGCGAAGGGCGCTTCGTTTCCTTTTCAATGGAGATCGCATCGGTGCACTTTGTGATGCGTCATCACAGCGTCCGCTGCAGCGGTTTGGTTCAACGCTGACTGAACTAATGACGAGCGACACGGTTCTGTCGTGAACCTCGGTGAAAACCGCACGAGTAAACCCGAAAACGCCCGAATAAGGGCGAACTATCCAAACACCGAGCATGACTTGTACAAATTAGAAGCCGGCAATTAAGCCTAACCAAGATGTTGATAGTGTCGTTTGAAGCGGAAAAACCGTGCCTTCCTCACGTCGATGGCCCACACTTGTAAACAGGGTACGTAATATGGGACTCACTTTGATTTACTCGCTGCCATTTTGTCTTCAATCTTGAGCGCTGACTTGAAATAAAATTACAAGCCCCACTACACACCAACAGAGTGCACACTAAAGTGAAATAATGCCACCGAACGAACGACACGACATTAAAGGACCGCAGCAAAAATCTCAACATTAAACCAACATTTTCAAACAAAACAAACAAATAATCTACTTAGCTTACATAAAAATTGTATAGTTAAAAGTATAGATACAATTTTGTATGATTAGGGTTTAATTCAATATTTATTAACTGCGATATGTCTATTCGGCAGTACCATCATCATGGCGGGCATCAAAGGTACGCTCTTTTTATTTTCCTTTCCTGTTTTCTTATCTGCGGTGTCAAAATAAAAATTTACCTATCTGTGCTCAGTCGCATTGTTCCGTTATTGCCTGGCTATTGATACGATAGCCACGGATGATGCAACGTAAAGATAATGAACGCGATTCTAAGCCCTTTGTGGCGTATCGCTACTTGAGTGTTAGGTGTTCACCTTCTCAACTCGCAAGATTCCTTGGCGATTTTTCCTTCGACGCTATTTCGGTCATTCATCTAATCTGTCATGGTCGAGGCGTGGAAGGGTACGTCTCCCATTTGAGCGAAATAAACATCTTTAAAACGAGAGCTTGGAGGAGACAGTGAGTTGGATGCCGAGCAATAGAATTGATTGTCATTGAATCATAGCGCAACCCTTGAGCAACTTGCGAGCATAGTTTACAGTCAGGAAAACCGTTTGCACGTTTTAATACGTTAGCTTTGTCTAACCTGCTGTTTTCCATTTTTTTTTTCTTTCAAACTTTCCCATTTCCGACCATCTGCCCGTCTTCTGGAACCATGTCAGCGTGAGTATTGACTTCTCTGAACAGTCTGAACCTTGCGAACTGATTTTCACGCAAAAATTCTTCCGTGAAATTTTTTTGAGGTATTGATTCTGCCGAGAAAACTTATTTTTCTTCTAGATTCGTTTTAAAAGTCGGAAATATTTTTCGTTTTCGGGCGTGGGTGGCGCAAGCGGAGGTGGTTAAGCCACTACAAATGATTAGCACAAAAAATACGAGGCAATGGATATAGCCTAAATTAATGTTAGATACAGCTATTCACACCAGAACAAAAAACTCCCGTAGAATTTGAAATTAATTGAATTGAAAGCTCTTTGTAGCATGCGGCCAACAGCTTTGGGTTTGTGGCAATCGCATGAGTAGATGAGGCACTTGAGAAAACAAATCGTAATTATGCCTATACCTTTCAAGGGCAAAAAAAAAAAAAAAAAAAGCTAGGTAACTTCTGTTTGCTGCATGGCGGTGAAAGCATTGCTTGTGTCGCTAACTCTGGAAGGTTTCGTCTTTTCAGCTTGTGCTGTGGGACCATAGTTGCTTAGCTTGCATCATTAGTAAGAACAGGTTCACGCAGAGCATTTATGTCCCTCTTTAAGAGCAGACGTTCTGTCCATAATCAAACCAAGTCTGTCGGCAGTGTACTCAATGTTTCGAGTGCCGCTGGCATCTTGCAAATAAGCATTATTTTTTTGTGCTCTACACAAGCAACTTTCCCGCCATTCCATAACCGAACTACACCACGGGACGCTTCTGTCGATGTCTGCGGTCAGAAAATTCGAACATGACTTTGTGTTTTTGCAGTTTCTTATAAAAACTTGCCCAATAATCATATTTGCAGGTACTAATGAAGCCTCTGCAAAACCCTCATAATTTACGGAGCCCATTGTGGGTTACATTCTAAGGTAGTGCGCCGTTGTCGTCATCGTCGATGGACCACATTTTTAGTGTAGAACAGACCCCTTTCTAAACCCCATCAAGCAACACTGGCGGTCGCTATTTCTCGGGGACGAAGCGTGTGATTGGGTTCAAGTCTTCGACGAACGCTGAGGCTGTACTCGCTTTTGATAAGAACTGATTTGAGTTTGCACCAATCCTGACACAGTCCTCATGTCCAATACGTGATCAGAATATGTGCCCTAACAACAACTGGTGAGTCAGATAACTGACTCACCAGCTACTAGATGGAGTGCACTTTTGAAAAGGGTCTATTGCAGTTTTACCGAAACTAATTTAGATTTTGCGAGCGTCTGTTACGTGCAGTGGCCTAGCACAGCAGAAGCTCGGCAACCCTACTGCACTTGTTTGCATGCCTCGCTTGTTGACAATACACATTGAGTCACTCCACACAGTGCTTCCTTGCCTTAGTCTCTGCATTCTCGGTGTTGTCGCAAGAAAGAGAAGGAAGGAAAGAATGAGTTGACATTTTGAAAAAAACGGGTCTGCTGCATTTCTCGTCAAATGCAATTCTGCATCTGAAGTTTCGATCGACAGATTGAAATACAACTGCAGTTGTTTTTCTCCTAGAAATTGGTCGGTGAATTTTGAATTTTTAGTGAAATGGTCAGGGAGGTTAGAAGCGGAGCTATGGTACGTACCCCACCCTGTAACCTGGCGGCTTTTATGATGATGGTTGTGTTGCAACAATCCCTTGTAGACTGGTGGCCCTGGCCTTCTCCGGCTCGGTGGGCATGACTCTCCTGGTTCTTGGGTGTGCGCTGCCTCAGCCCAGGTAAGTGCTTAATTTTATTTACCGTAAAATAATGGGGAGCGCCCACCTGATTTTTACTGAAAACTGGGTTAATCTAGACATGGACGCTTGTCTGGTCAATTTGGGCGGTTAACATATAATTTGCAGAAATCCCGAGTTTGGCAAATGTTAATAGTGAGTGCTTGAGCAAAGTGGGTGCTTCTGCGGTATTTTACTGTATTATTATTTATTAGTATTTACCCTTAAGAGGCCTTGAGCCTCAATAAGAGTCATTTGACCTGTAGGCAATCCTAGAGTCACTGTATATGGCAGGCTTTAGTAGCCCCACGCTTTTCCTCGTGTAATGATTCGTCATGTGCATTACCATAGCAACAGGCCGAGTTGGCTCAGTTACCATAACAACCAACAGAATTGTACATTGTTGAAAATTGCCAAGGTTGTGTTTCGATATTTCAGAGTGGTACGGATGGATGCCAACGGCTGTACCCTTTATATAAGGCGGCTTGTGCCACCTAGCCTTGAAATTAGGAACCAAAAGTATGATTGCTTTCCTTCACCAACTTGCTTACCCTCTGCAATTTCGTAACTATCACCAGGCGGTCTGGGTCCAGGATGACCCTGGGGGGATTGGGCAAAAAAACAAAAACTTCACCCCCTGCCTGTTCCCCCCCCCCCCCCCCCGCAAGGGAGTCGCCAATCTTCCTCTGGTCAAACCTAGTTGGCATTACCCTGGCACTGGGCCCACTGGAACACGGCGTGGAGACTTTGGGCCGGAGCCACGCAGGAGGGACTCCTAATTTTCCTCCGTCCCGTCTATCCCCTGCTGTGTCAGTTAAATTTATGTTATTCGATTCCCCCTAGATATTCTCCAGCAGTCTTCCAATCCCTTCCTTGTTATTAAAATGCCCTTATTATCATCCATTCTTCCATTCTCGTCTGCAAACTGCAGCGCTCCCGCTAAATTTGTCGCCTCCTCCGGGAGAGCAAGCCTTGTGCACCTCAACACCACATGTTTTATTGTCTCATCATCCCCTTGGCATACAGCACACTGTATATCCATTTCCTCATTTTTTTCCTATATGTCCCAGTCCTCAATACTCCTGTTTTAGCCTCAAATAATGAGCTCCCCTTTGAATTATCATAACAACGTTCCTTCCTTATTTCCCGTTTTCGTCCCCTATGCATAGTTAAGGCCGATTTTCCTTGCATTCTTCTCTCCCACGTCTTTTTTTTGGCTTCTTTTACTTCCTTTTTTGCAGAGGTATTCTGTTCTGCCCCCGCACTTGACTGTTGGTATTTTAATTTCAGTTTTTTGGTTCGGCTTGTCCATTAAGTGTTCAAACTTTTCATGTACAAATGCTTATATACCTTTCTCGCCTATCGTGTGTCCTCAATTGCGTCCAGTCTTCTTTCAAATTTCAACTTACTGATTGCCTCTCTACATAGTGCCGGCATACCAGTGTTGCCTGCTACTTTCTGAGTAGCAAGAAGTTCAAATTTTAGGTGAGCGTCCCTGAGTGCAGTAAACATGTCATTCTAGAGGTGCCCATTACTTCAAATATGCCCAAGCCGTTATGTCAACAACTCTTTTACCTCAACTTTGACTTGCATTTACCGACTTTCACCACCTTTCAATGAACAGGCAGAGAGATTAAATTCGTGAGAAAATTAAGTGGCCACCAGATGCCGATAGTAGCACGGTTACCATGGCAACCTCTTGGGCCCAAAATGGAGATCACTATTGGTAGCTTCCTATGTTGTGCCCTAGGTTTTTCTGCATCATGTAACTACTCTGAGAGCAAGAGCTGCCATACAGTGGCTTTAGACAGTCTGATGGCCCCTTCGGAGGATTGTCTCTGCTGTCCCGTCCTATCGTCTCCAATAATTGGAACCATAAAGTGAGAAGAAAGAAAGCGTACAAGGCAGAAGCAATGCTTTTTGCCATTACAAGTGCCCTGCGTAAGCAAACTAAGAGGAACTGGTTACGCTAAAACTGTTTCCACAGTTTTTTAGTTGTGAATTTTCGTCCCTATTTTCTGTCAGTGCCTTTTATTTTGCAAACACAGGCATGCAAAATTTTGTCTCGTTTGTTGTTCATGAAGATTCAAGATTTTCAGCCAAACTTCCTACACGATAGGTGTTTTTATGTTCTGCCGACAACAGTAGCAGGGTCCCTTGTCACATCAGTCATATATGCATCTTGTTGCAGAGTAGTGCTCTCTACTAACCCACTGTAAAACTTAGCTGTGCATTCATTCTGCCCTAAACCTTGACTTCATTTGTACTTCGTTACCTTGGCAGCCCAAACAATCTTCAGCACCGCTCATTCACAAATCTGTTAGTTTATTGTTGGCTGGTTACACCCTAGCATATTAAAGAAATGTTGCTAATGAAATGTATTTCGTACATGGGCAAGTGGTGTTTATTAAGTCTCTCCGGAGTTCGATTTGGGTCCCTGTGGGAAGCCAGCGCTTTCTCGGCTGTTAATTTGATGAGAACTCACGCACACATGAATGGCGAGAAAAGTGTCGTGGCCTCTGATGGACTTGTTACGAGTGCTGCTTCATTCACTGGTGGATTTAAGCTTGTACAACAGCAGAATAACTTGAGATTTGCGAAGAAAGTATGGGCTGTCGATTGCTTCCGACGTAAAATAGCATACAATCACAATATCTGCTAGTGTTCAATATCACTCTGCTGCGGTCCTCAATTTGTAGCAGACAGACATCTTTTTTCAATTCCGTTAGTAGATGACCAGTAGACCTAAAGGCGTTTCCTTGTTTTATATCTGTCTCCAAATGACACTTCGTAGCGGACAAATCTCACTTTTCGCTCATGTTAGAAGGGGAGTAGTCTGCCGATGATATCTTAGTTCAGGGTTTTTCAAACTTTTACACTTCAAGGAATGCTTCTCTCTCTCTATTTATAACCAAGGAACCCGTCCCGGTCTTGGCATTGATGCGGCACCGAAGTGCAGAAGCTTGCAGTCCTTGCAAACTATAATTGACATATTGGTGTTTGCCTCATAGTTATGTATCTGTGGGTCGCTCAGATCTGCTAAAATAATGCTTAAATCATAAAAAAAAAAAAAAAAAAAAAAATTTTGGGGGGGCAGAGGTGGTTGAGGAAGCTTGGGAGCTTAGGAAACCTGTGAGGGTACTCTGGGGAACACCTTGGTTGTTTGAGAACCCATGTCGTAGCTTGTTCCGTGAGAGGCACCTCTTTCAACAGAAATGGTGCTTCCTGTTAGTGGATTATCTTGGTAGAAAACTTAGGAAAGAAAACATGCCAGTAGGAAGCAGAGGGAGAAGCTTTTTTGTACTAGCTTCGAAGCGAAAGGTAAGCCACAACGGGCACAAAAGTGAAGCCTCGGGAGCTGAACCTAAGTCTCCGTAGCTCAGCGGAGCCAACAGAATCTAGAATTCTCACTTGAAAGAACGTTCACGCTCACTCGTACCATGCCCACGGAGTTTCCTGCCAAGAAACCATTGAACTGGTAGTCTGGAAAAGGGTGGATTAGCATTGGCCTTCGCAATGACTGCGTTCGCACCCCCGACCAGGGCGTGGCAAGAACAGGAGCAGAGCATGGCAAATTATAAGCTCCGACACCAGCAATTCTGAGAGGAAGAAAGCAGACAATAAATTTGAAGTGCTCGTTTTGCTGCGATGGATTGAAGTTGCCCGAGCGTTCCTCAACTTCATTTATTTTTATACAATGCACGATGCCGGTGTTTTCTAGCAAAATAAAGCCAGAAAGCAGTAGATACAGTCCTCGCAAGTAGTGTATTTTGTTTTCACATCTCCGCACACAACAAAGCATTACTCGCAATACGGTCCCATCGACGTCGGCGTCTATGCCCCACCTTTCCAAAGCGACTGAAATGTGTGGTACATTTCTTTCCCTCTGGAATATTTTAACAATAACCGTCTGTGCGTCCCTCACCCCGGTGGCGCCCTCCCACACAGCAACTGGTACCCCTTCTTCGTGGTGCTGATGTACGTGCTCTCCCCGCTGCCCTCGCTCATCGCCCGGCGCTACAAGGAGGATGCGGGGACCTGGAAGGCCGCCCAGGAGCTGGCCTACTTCGTCACGACGGGCATCGTCATCTCCGCCTTCGGCCTGCCCCTCGTGCTGGCACGCTCGCCCTCCGTGCCGCACCCCGTGGTCAGTGCCACACCCTCGCTCTTTTATGGGGCCTTCAAACGGCCTTTCCCATGGTTGCCGGCAGATGGAGAACGGCAGGGCTTGTCTTTCGGACACCTCGAGCATGTGCTCCGTGCCTTCCACAGTGCTCTGACTGCACGAGCGCACTCGAAGTGCACGAGGCGTCATACGCGTCATCGAAGGTAGAGAGCTTGCGCCGGAGACGCGACAACTGAAGCTTCTCCGTGCCGTTCTCACAGTGTCACCAACCATTGGAAGCGTGCGACAGGACAGTGGTGCCACGACCAGACTCCTAGCGGGGGCGTTTCACGTAGAATACGGCCGGACCGGCAGACATCCTAAGTGGCGGCCAACCTTTCTAATCAACGTCGACGTACCTGAGTGCAGCACTGTACGAATCGTTTGGGGCCACGGTCTGCACTAACTCTTTTTTATGCGAAACCCGGTAATTGAGAACAGAAATCACCTCTGAGTGCCGTCGAGAAGCACCGCAATCCTCTAAATCTTGCTACGTCCACTCGATTCAGCGGTGGGCGAAGGGCACTTTAATAAGAGGTATGAAGAAGACTTCTCGCATAGATTTTAACACTTACTAGCACTGACGAATGTCGTCCCGTAGTGCTTTTCGAACCGTCCAACGCACGGACGCTTCATAGAGGCATCTTGTTGCACAGATAAACGAAGAGCATAACAATCTGCTGCCGATAACAACTGCGGGACAGACGATTGAACCCGAGCTTCGAACGACTCCCGCGGGTTGAATGGTAGAAAACACGTGCAGAGCAATGCTGGGCATGGATAAATTTCGAATGTCGAGGTGCCAACCCTTTAAAGCTAGACCGAGAAATACAGCCGCGTGAAGGCATAGATGCGGCGAGGACGCTGCAGGAGCATTGGAATAGGACGAAGCGGGCAGCACTTCACCATGCGACGTAACGTGGTGGCACTGCCGACCAGCTGCCAAGACAGAGCGGCACGCCCCCAATGCGTGTCGCACGCTCCCAATAGATGGTAAGTTTGTGGTGGTGGGTTTTGAACGTTGCCCACTAAAGACCAGCACTGGGCACAGATTGAACACGAGCGACAGATCGACAATGAGGCGTGCCCTCCCAGATTGAATGCGAGTCTTTTTTTTTTCCTTTTTTGTATAACACTTTGGCAAATTAGGTCGGTACGCCACCAAACTAGTGTTTTATTCTAGCTTTGCGTATCTTCCGAGAGAAAGAAATAAAGCACCAGGACCACGGCCAACGACTGAATGTGCCTGCGGTGATGTCACGAGGTAGAAATCGAGAGACTAACCAGTCGAAGACGCATTCCAAGCACCATAGTTTTACTTTATGTGAAAGTATTTGAAGGTTCTTTAGACCAACATCTTCTTTCCATTTTGGTGGTTGTCGAAATTATATTTAGTTGACTCGGATGTGCAGCGTGTTCCCTTTTTGGCATACTTCAGTGACCAGAAGGCTGTGTTGTGCATGATAAAGTAAATGAAGAGTGGACATGCCATTGCTTCTTTGCAGACTGTGTTAAAAAGCTGCAGATTTTTACAAGTGGGATGGTCTCAAGAGGACTTTTCTTCTCTCCCTCTCTAGATCCAGTGGAGCGCATGTGGCCTAGTGCTGGCAGGCAACCTGGTCGTCTTCATCACCATCCTGGGCTTCTTCCTGGCGTTCGACAACGACGAAGTCGACTACAACATGTGGTGAAGGCGAGGCTCCGGCCCAAGAAACAAAAAAACCCAAATTAGCCTCCTTCCGACGTCTGCTTTCCTCGAGCCCACTGCCAAATTTCCGCCGCCAACCTGCCAGGCTCCTTCGCTGCTCCGACCAAATCACAGAGAGGCTCCGTCTTTAGTTGCCGTCATTCGTAGGCGCTCACTGTACGCTTTGCCAGGGTTAGGGTTGGCTGCGCTCTATGCGAAATGAGCCGCATTTCCGTCTTGGATCGGCTTCGACATGTGCTTGCTGTCGGCTTGTTTTTGGGAATTGGATTTACTTTTTCTGGTGGAAACAAACGGTCGGGCCCTTGTAAACACACACCGTGTGCTTCGCTAGAGTTAGGGTCCGACGGCTGCACTCCGTGTGAAACGCTATGTCGGTCGCCGGCATCTCACCTTTTCTTCAAGAATGCCGCATTCCCGTGGAGGATTGGCTTTGACGTTGGTTCGCTCTCGGCTTGTTTTGGGGATCGCATTTACCCTTGGAAGCGAGAAATTGTGCCCCGAGGGCAGTAAATTGTCTCATCTCTCAAATCAAGTCAAAGATCCAATCCGACACGCGAGATTTGTCGATTCGATTCGGCATCTTGTAAATAGCATAAAGAAATTTGTTGTGGAAACAGGGGAAGTTTCCATTGTGGTGTCTTTCGGTATCTGGAGGATAATGTTCCGGAGAGAAGATTGTTTCTTGCAGTCAAGGGACTGGCACCTAGTAACGGAGAAACAGATCTTTGCTGTTATTAGTCTGTATGGAGGGGATGCGACGCATGCTGTACATAGTCTATTATTTAATAAAAAAATATACCTCACAATGAATTCTTTCTGTACCAAATTTTGTGACTCTACCACGGGATACACACAAACATTTGTGTGAATGTTGGTTATATATACTGTGGAGAGACGGTCTGCCCAAAACGTGTGGACATAATTTGACTATTGCAGTACAACCGCTAACGTCTCTGACGTGTGTCGTGCAGTAGTGATTACACAAATGCACACCAGTACAACGCCAGCCTATATCGGAACCGACAGGAGTACGAAAGGTTTGGTGGTATCAATTTATAGAATCGAATGCAGCTTGGAAAGTAGTAGTGCCGCATATAAAATGTGTTATCTTAAAGGGAAGCTGAAACACTTCTTTTTAAAGATGAGGTAGAGGTTGATTCTAGTGTAGTTCTATCCCGTGAATCTGAATATCACGTTTGTTTTCCCTGAAGATGTAACGCAACACGAGAAACCTCCGACCAGTCGTTGCGTCGTAAGAGGCTCCTTGGGCCCCCAAGCGCATGTCGCTCGTATGGGCAGCGTATGCAATTGCAAGCTTGCCAGGCATGTTCCCCTGCATTGACACCAGTCGCGGCGTCTTTTTCTGACCTTTTTTGAAAATGGCAAGAGTGCGCATTCGTAGTTCTGACAGGCGAGAAGATGCGCAAGAGTGGAGATTTCTAAAACTTTTTGCGACGTCGCCCCGGGAAGAAGGGCCTTGAGCTGTACTTTTAAAGCGATTTTCTGCTGCCTCCATGCACCAAATTAAAAAGAAATAATTTCGATATTTGAGACCCTGGAGGTCAAATTAACATTATTTTAAAAGAGTTTCCTCAAATACAGAACTGGTCCCGCTTCCCTTTAAGGCCTTACAGCTACACTAATGCAGTCTGTCCAGGCGAGTTATACGCCTAGGGGAACATAACGAGGATAATTGTCGCGATAAGTCGGTTAATTAACTAACATTTGTTAATGGGCTTCTTAATTATTGAAGATAAAAATATGGTTCCAATTAAACTTTCCAAGCACCATTGAAAACCACTAAATAGATTTTAGAAAGGTTTGGGGCACATGGGAAGTGCGGTGGTGCACTAAAGTTGGCACTCGTGTGCAACAGGCGCTAGGCTAGTGGTGTGACAACGCACTAATCATTCACGTTAACAAATTTTAGTTAATTAACAGACTTATCAAGATAATCATCCCCCTATATTATGTGCCCCTGCCATAAAATTCACCTGCACAGACCACATTAGTGTAGCTTTCACAGTTCTTTTCAGCAAGATCTGTAAAGCATTAAGAAAGACCACCTCGTATTTAGGAACAATGCTCTACTGCCCCCAGTAAGGAAAACTACTTCTAAACTGTCTTCCATATAGATTCTTCTAAATGTTCTGGACAAAAGAAATGAAACTGCAAAGGATATGTGAACTTACTTGATTTGGCACTAGGTATAGCCACCAACAAGCACTCGTGTTTAATCTCTGGCCCCTGGTAAGTGATGTAGACTTGCACACCTCTGTAGACCATATTTCAAATACTGCAACTGTCAACTGTGCTACATTTGGTAGCTTATTAGTAGCCAGTTTGCCAAAATGCTATTCGAGGGAAGGACGTCTTTTCGTTGGTGACCAGCGGCCTCGCGCTGGAATGGCAGGACACGAGTATATCTTTCTGAAAGCTGATGATCTTAATCAGTAAAACAATACCACTGCTTTTTGATGTTTTTTTTTTTTTCTGTCCTTTTCTCGCAGACGGTGCTACTGTAAGCGGCAAATGGCGTTGTCAAGGGAGCTCCGATATCCAATTTTAATGGTTTGGTTTTCTGCTAATGCTAGGGCACTTCTCCGTCCTTTTAAATTACAAGCATAGGTGCCTTGCATATATAAACCTGGCATCGGCAGATTTTGTGAGAAAAAGGAAGAGGCAATAAAATTAGTATTTATAAATTGGGTTCTTGATGCTTGGGTAAAAAAAGTCGAAGTTCGATAGTTCCTGTCCACATCCGCAACCTCCCCTACCACATACGGCCTTGCTCCTACACAGAGTGGACCAAACCAACCACCACCATTCTGAATGAACAAAAACTCATCTACACATCTCTCATCGACTTCCTCCGATCCTCCGGGATCGGTAGGTTCATCTAATCATCGTCATTTTCACTTCCCTTCAACCTTTCCCCCCGCCTACTCTGAGGCCAGAAGGCCAGAAGGCAGCATCACAATAAACGTTTTTACAATACACACATTTTCTTCCTTTTTAGCCCCTAAGATAACGCATATGTTGCATGTTTTAAACCCTACAGGTGTAAAACTTTCCCCGCTGCAATTATATTTATAATTGTCGCAGGAGCAACAATGTGCACAGTTTAAAACGAGCATTTAGCTCTGCATGCCCCGCATCGTGAAATTCACAGGAATTCTGCCCCAAATGTAGGTCTGAAGAGGTGAATCCTATTTTTTGTTCACCTCCCCTTTCAGAATTCTGCGAGGCCAAAATCCTGAAAATGAAGAACCCTATTTATAATTAACACAAGGAATATCTACCATACTCTGTTTATAGAGAGTATTTACTAGACGCCATATTTGTGGGTGCTGTTTAGAGCGCATGCTCAGAACGAGCTCGCATCAATAGGCTGCTAAGACCGGCACTCTTGATGGTGCGGAATGCACGGCGCAAAGGAACTGTGGAAGCTCGCCATGAGCACGCGCTCGGCATTTGCGCACACAGCTATGGCCGCCAGTGAATACTCCCTATACCTACTTAATATACAACACTATCAAAGCTACTCGCACAAGCGGATGGCCTGAGTTTCGCTTGTGCGAGATCGCGTGAAACTGATCTGCAAGATCAAACCCCATGCTCGCACCAGCAGCTTTGACAGTGTTGTACACTAAGTATAAAACAGTAAAGTAACTTGCCATGTGCAAGAAAAATGCATTCCTAAAAACCAATCTTTTTTTATAGCTTCCTGTGGTTCGTAATATATCTAAAAATATAATGATTATTACCGACTAAATCGTTGTAGCATAAAGTTCCAAGTGTAATGTTGAAAAAGGGGAAAGGGTACTTCATATTCGAACAGATCCGTTCGGTGACCAGTCGCTGATGGGTGAAATCGGGAGATTTCTCGTTCATCCACACATTCCCCAACACATTGTGAAGTCAGCGAGGAAGTTCCGTTGCTCCCATCCTTTCTTGTCGAGTAAAGGTAGCATTACCAGCATTAGTAGATTGTAGCATAAAGGCTGGTTCACATGCAACTGCTTATGACATTGTGCCTTAAAACCTCTCTCTACAAAAAAATTCCGTACACTTCCTTTTCTTTTTTATCATCCTTTTTTTTTTTTTTTAAATGTTTCACAATGTTACAAAGGACCATTTCTCATGTGGCACATACATTTGACCTTGCAAATACCACAAACCCTTCAATCTCATGAAACGCAGTTCTAGGGTCGCCTCATAGATGGCGCCAGCATGCCAGAATGTTCTCTCGTCGTAAGAGATTGCAAGCACTGGGTCCTGAGCAGACGCAAGTGTATGAGCGAGCCTTTACCAGGCTCAAACTATACTTATAGTACTTATTCGGGGGCAAAAAAGCTTTCTTGCTTTTGCCCTTCACCGTCACGCGAGGGTAACACTATTATACCCCGTTGCGGGTTAAAAAAAGCGGGACAATCTCCTCCCGCAAAGCCATCCACTTTTTCCACTTTGTGGTAACTCGGACAAAGAGGCAGAAGACGAGATCTCGCGAAAAAACCGCGAGCGAGCTCGAGAGAGAACACGGAGCGCGATTGACTGGACTGAGCCGACATGAAGCAAGCCCTAGGTTAGCCAGCGGCATACGTTTTTTTAATCATGTAAATAAACCCGTTACTACGATTGGCGACGAGGGTGTTCCAGCCATCATCCGTGTGCATCAACGGCATAGGTAAAGCCCCTTCAACCCGAACGTCCACTGCTCTAGCACCCTGGCGGAAGCTACGACTGCTAGGACTTCAGGAAGGGACCCCGCCGACGCTGACACAAACCGGGTGAGGATGACCTACATCGGTAACGTTCCTGATTTCAACAAGTCAGAGCGATTTGATCTTTACATTGAGAGATTCGAACGCTGGCTCGCGGCTAATGAGGTTCCGGAAGGCAAGAAGGCAGACATTTTGCTTGCAACACTTCCTGCATTGACTTATGAGCTGCTTCGAGACCTCGTATCTCCAAGAACAACTGAATGTTCTTACGAGGACCTCAAA